TCCTTTGTTTCCAGTTCATGAAATATGGATTCTATAGAATTTCATATTATGTCATTCTTTTGTCAGATATGGATGATATATATATATATATATATATATTATAAAGGAAGTTCTTGAATTTAGTTATGTCAGTGTGCTTCTTGTTCGTTAATGCAGTGAATTTCCTATGTTCCAGGTTGTGACTGTAGAGAAATTGAATGCTATTAGCATGGTGCTTGAGGCTTTTGGCAACTCACGGACCATGCTCAACACCAATGCTACCCGTTTCACACAGATATTGAGTCTTGACTATGACCAATCAGGGCAAATAGCCTCAGCCTCTGTGCAGGTTTGTTTTTCCCATGGTTTAATTTTATCATAATGTAGTTCATAGTTTGCTTAAGTGATCTGCTTTAAATTAGTGTATTTATTTATGATGCTGGCAAGTCTGTTAACAAAATAAGCACTTTAATATCTTTAAATATTGATATTTGGAACCTCTGTCAGAGTTTGAAGTTTGTTCATGTGAGGAATGCTAGGTGTACTCTATGACTTTTTATTGCTAGTGGGGTGGGACTAAGTCCCTTGTACTGCGGCCACTTCTGGCCTATTGTACCAGCCCAAGATGATAGGTGAGGGTGATTGTGGAGCAATTGGTGGAATGAAAATTGGCAGGGGAAACCAAAGTACTCTGAGAAAACTCGCCCCAGCGCCACTTTGTCCACCACAAATCCAACTTGACCAGACCCGGGATCGAACCCAGGCCGCCGCGGTGGGAAGCCAGCAACTAACCGCTTGAGCTATGGCGCTACTGTATGACTTGGATTCCACATCATAGTGGTCATCATTGTCATCTTCACTATCATGTAATCAGTAGCAAAATGGAATCCTGCACTGTGGCCTTCTTGTTCAAATATCTGGATTCCCATCTGTTTCCTAGGCAGGCAGGAAGGGGCCAGAATGGCCTAGATACCATATTCAGAGGCCTGTGTATACATAAATGGCCTTTCTTTCTTGTGCAGTATATTAGTTACCTTGAAAGAAATATCCAAATGAATGAATAAATTCAAGGCTGATTATGTCATACATTTTAGCATATTTTAGAATATAGTGACGTGGGTATAAGGAACTGGACTTCTGTGTCAAAGGTCTTGCATCTGAGACTTGCCAGAATTAATTCAGTCTATTTTACAAACATCTACAAAGCTACAACTTTGTGAATGTTTGGAATATCACTAAATCCAGGATTCTGCTAAATGTGGGAAACTGAAATGGGGTTCCGCTGTAGATTTTGGAGACTGGAAACCTGTGTCCTGATAATGAATTTGTCTTTAACAGGTTTTGTTGGCAGAGAGGTCACGTGTTGCCCGGAGGCCAGAGGGTGAACCAACATTCCACATTTTCTACCGACTGCTGGCTGGTGTTGAGGGGACACTTCGCAGGGAACTTCATTTAGATAGTCTTACTGGAGAGTCAAATCTCTTCATGACTCCACTCCAGAGGGTAATAACCATTTCACTAATTATTTATGATATTATATTATCATTAATAATATTTCTCTATTTCACAGTGTATAAGAGGGACCATTGTACTAAATGCACTGCAATTTCTATGGCCGTTTTGAGGAAAAAGCCATATCTTATACACTGGGAAATTTGATAATTATAATATTTGCTTTGCATTCTAGATATATTGAATATTCAGTCTCTGTCACTCACTGTAGCAAAAATTGTGACTATGTGGAACCATCCTGCTTGAGGAGCTAATAGATACTCAGCTACTCAAATTTGATCCCTTTTGTAGAATCTGAAGGTTCATTATCATTTCCACAGACCCTGTGTAATATTTTGCAGCACACTGGTTTTTATGATGAGGAGTTGTTAGTTTCCAGCTGAACCTCAAGCCTGATATACCATTCCTTGTCAACTCTCTGAAACTACTTATTCAGTATATTTGACTTACAGTCATCACATATGATGGCTCATGTCTTGCATCTCCAACCTGAGTACTTGCCACACTGTGATGGTTTTATAGAAATCAAACCATCATTGATGCCATAAATGTTCTGTATGTGAAGTAGAAGTAGGATCCCTGCTACTGACTCCTGTTTGCACAGAATTGACTAGTAATTTGTTTGAACCTTACCTTGTAGTTTCTCCTAGGCTGATTGTATTGCCTGAAACAAAACAAAAAAAAAAAAAGGTGGTATCATTATTAGTGGAGCTAGTAGGAACTGCAGTTTACTGATCCAGTCTTTTAATATAAATGTGTTTTTGAACATTATCCACAGTCTTGTCTTTATCTAAAAACCGTCTTGTTTTATTTTTTCGAAAACAACGTTACGGAGACTGGATTCTGTCTCTGTCTTCAGGTAAAACGTACTCAGTTGGGCCCAATTGACAGAGCTAGTCCGTATCTCCGGAGACTAGCTCTATGGATTGAGTCCAACTGAGTAGGTTTTACCTGAAGACAGAGACAGAATCCAGTCTCCGTAATGTTGTGTTTTGAAAAACAAACAGGACAGTTTTTAGATAAAGACGAGACTGTGGATAATGTCCAAAAACATAATATTTATACTAATGTACCATTTTCACAAAGTTTTGGATCTCATTCTGTCAATAATTTCCATCNTCGTCGAAAGACCATTGACCAACTTTCTGAGGAAAGGAATATCTCATGGAGCATGGTCCAGCGAATTTTAACCGAAGGTTTGCACATGAGACGGGTGTCTGCAAAATTTGTCCCTCACTTGCTCGGAGATGACCAAAAACCGCATGAATGTTTGCCGCGACTTGAAGAGTGAAGTGCAGTTTTCCCTAACAGAAAGCAAAATTTCACGCACACTCTTTGTTCCTTCTGGTCGGCCATCTCACTAATCGCCAAAGGGTTATAACAGGAACACACACAAAACAGAGCACCACAGACAAACCACTAAACTCAGACTGACGCCAGCTCACTAACAGTCGCGGGAAACCCCCAGCTAACACCACCTAGCAGCACAACTCGTAACTACAAAGCATGCGCGCGCAACAGGTCGTTTCCGGTTATTTTTGGGTCCCCCTTTGTATACACAAGTATACAGGTAAAGAAAAAAGGTAAAGCTATCCCCGTAACAGGCTGTGGAGGCCCATAGGGTTATGAGACCTTGAGGCTCCCACATTTTCTAGACATTCAGCTCATAGATGGCAGTGAGTTTGTCAATCTTACATGTGGACCACCCTTTACCCCCAGGAACATTCCTGGTACTCATTTATGTTAGAGGCTGAGTCAACCCTAGGACCATAGTGAGACTGCAACAATTAGGTCAACTGAAAAATTCAGTGACCTCATCGAGAATCGAACCTGCAACCTTCTGACATGTAGCATAGTGCCTCAACCAAGTATGCTACCAGATGCCGCGCACTCACACACACACACACACACACACACACACATTTACTTTAAAATTGCTTTATTGTAGGAAAATAGAGAAGAGAGTATTCGGCCAAAGAGTTAATCATATTGACTCACTGACATGCCTATACTGTATTTGCTAATTTGTTTCAGCATGAGGACAAGCAGAAGGCCATGCTGGAATTTGCTCGGGTGTGCACTGCTATGCAGGCTCTGGGCTTTTCTGAGGCAGAAAGTAAAGTTATCTGGTCTGTCTTGGCTGCAATATATCACCTGGGGATTGCTGGTGCTGTTAAAGGTACAGTCGTATTCTGAGTATCATAATCATTGCCTTATATACCGGGTGTTTAAGAGGTGATTCCTAACCTACAAATTTCATAGTACAGAATATTGTTTGGAGAGGTAATAGGTGCTCTAGCTGTCAGCTATTTCCATGGTTTTATGGACCTTTTAATGGTTTATGTTATGCTGGCAGTATCTTGGGTAATGTAGCATTGAATGGATTGGCAGTTGGTGAATAATGGATGGCAAAAGATTCATAAGGAAACGGTGATGGTATAGTTGAGGCACTTTCTTGGTATTTGCTTGGATGGATTGTGGAAAACCACAGATGACCTCAGGATAACTGATGTTCTGAGCGAGATTTGAATCAAGCATATTCTAGATACAAGTTTAGAGCATTAATCACTACATATACGTGCTGGGTGGTTTTGTTGAAACTGAAGGCATATATGATTGTTCACATAAGTTTGCCCGTTTGACTGTATCATCCAATTCACAGCCCTTATACCTAACTCTTCAAAATTTGTACTTCCTTTTTGATTTTCTAGTTAAAATGTTGTAAGTAAAGTAAAAAAAGAAGTAATGGTATCCTTGTAACAGGCCATGGAGGCCAATAGGGTTGTGAGTTGTTGAGGTACCCACATTTTCTAGACAATCGGCTCATAGATGGTAGTAAGGTCGTCAGCCTTATGCGCTGGCCGCCCTTTTCCCCCAAGAATATTCCTGGTACTCATTTCTGTTAGAGGCTGAGGTGACCCCAGGGCCATAGCGCAGCTGGGCAGATTAGGTAAATTGAAAAAATCCACCTCATTGGTGTTCGATCATGCGACCTTCCAGCTTGTAGCATAGTGCCTTAGCCAATTATGCTACCATGTGGCCCCCAGTAAAAATGTTGTATACATTTCTAATTTTTACCTATGCATGCTGTATATCTTGCAAATCTTCATTTTATTAAAATTAAATTCTCCTATCAAATGTTACATTTTTATGGGAGATTCTCTCTTCAGGGTAGAAGATGAAGGTAGCAGGTTTCTTGTGAAATGTCATTAATGATTTAGAAGACTGCACTGCCTCATATCGCGGAAGTCAGTAATTTTCATAGTCGCTGCCAAGAGAACCTCAAATCTCACTTAATTTTTTCCTTATACAGTATTTGATGCTAAAAATGTTATGTGTGCTTTATAGCAGGAGGTAGCAACAGCAGCCGATGGCATTTCTCCAATCCTCAAGCAGCACAACAGGCTGCTCGTCTTCTAGGCACCACAGTCGAAGAACTGGCCCGTGTCTTGTTTGGGCACAGTTCAGGTGGAATGGGTACGCCCTCTACCCCTCGTGCTCCCTTCCGGACCCCTTCACCTACTGAAAGGGTACTCGACAGGGATGTCACAGGATTGGAAGCTCTAGAAGGGATGGTCATTGGTCTCTATGGAGAGGTATTGAATGCTGTGGCAGCACTTATCAACAGGTGAGATGCCTGAGACACGTCACACATTCAGACATATATGCCTACATCATCACTGCAGACAGGATGTGTTATTTCTTATTTTGCTTAAGCTCTGGTTGTATGGCCTTAAAATCTTCTGATGTTTTTTGGTCACCATATGTAATCATCCTTTTATATGCTCAAATTTCATTCAGTCATTCATAAATGACTCCTTCCTGCATGTTTACGAACATTAGAAACATATGGTTTTGAAGTCTCCCTACTTCTGTTACTCTAATCTGTCTCATGGATGTTGTGAAATCATTGTGTTACATATTGAGATACTTAAATCAGTGTTCTTTGTTACCTGATGCTCATATAAATGAATGCTTGGGGTTAATTATGCTTTCTCACCTGACCAGTCAATATAAGGTCAAGTGGGTAAACGGTTATGAATGAAGAATTGAAAAGGAAGTAGAAGGAACTATAAGGGCCGTGCCATAGCTCAAGCGGTTAGTTGCTGGCTCCCCACCGCAGAGGCCCTGGTTCGATCCCGGTTCTCGTCAAATGGGATTTGTGGTGGACAAAGTGGCGCTGGGGCAGGTTTTCTCCGAGTACTTCAGTTTCACCTGTAAATCTTCATTCTACTAAATTCTCCACAATCACCCTCACCTATCACCTGGGGCTGGTACAATAGGCGAGAAGTGGCCGCAGTACAAGGGACTTAGTCCCACCCCACTAGCAATAAAGAAAACAACAGTTATCACCTATTTTAGAGCATTATCACACTGAAGGACTGAAGGAAAGAAACCTCAATTAGGAGACTGAGTATTGGACTCAAGTGTTTTTGAAAATGAAGCAGTAATTCTGTCCAATCTATATAATGTTCAAAGATGAATGTGTAATTTCATATTACAATATTTGTGAGATGGTATGTATTTGTGTTTTACAAGATCAGATTATCAGGAACTAGTAAATATGATATGTCTGTGTCATAGATGGTTTTACAGTTTAATGTGTGTAATAATCAATATAGAAGATTTGAGGTTTTTACAGCTATTATAATTTAGATTGTGGTTTGGGTTATGTTATGTTATATAGTCTTGTATATGGCTTCAGATGCTTAGGTAGAGGCGGCAGGTTACTTCGAAATATTCGTAACTGCTCAAAATTATGCAGTGCAATAAGACTGAAGACCATAATCTAAATTTAAATGAAGTACCTATTGTTTGTTTGAAGATCCATATCCACACCAATCCATACAGTGTCATCGCTGGTGGTTGTGGATTCCCCAGGCTTCCAGAACCCTGCTTCCTGTGGCCAGCAGGGTGGAGCAACATTTGAAGATCTCTGCCACAATTACCTACAAGAACGTCTACAATTGCTTTTCCATCATACAACTCTTGTTGCTCCAAAAGATAGATACACGCAGGTTTGTGTTAAAACTGCATTCACACTGCATTGTGTAATGTGTTCCCTGGTTATGTTCATGATTTAAAGGTGTTGCGGATGTGATACTGATGAGAAAATTTTGAATACTTACAAACTAACTCTCTTATTCTGTAACTAGCAAAATGTGAAGTCAGATATGAAGCCCTAAATTAAAGACAATTGTACTGCATGGTCAGGGCTATCATGCACCTCAGTGTGTGTGGTGACGGACAAATATAGAACAATGGTCCAGTGACGATTCTGTAGCCAAACATTTAATCAGTAGCCAGTGACAAAGATCACCAGTACTGTATAATACATATGACAGCTGAGGTGTATCTTTATTAGTGACCAGAATGTGATTCCAAAGAGGGGCAGGGTTTGTCTTTTTGGCACTGAAACCAGACTGGTCTTGGAGCCTACCTGGCCTCCTATCTTGAGGATGAAGCAGCCAGAGCCTGAGGCTGTCTCCCACAGCATTTCTGAACATTCCACAGTCAGTACACCCCTTGTCTCAAAGTGAAAGTTCATGTACCCATTTTCAGTGGAAATCTAATTTTCAACTCAGACAGCTGCTATCATGTGTTACAAACACAAGATACATAGACTTTCTGAAGAATGTTGTCTTCTGCGATGTACCTAATCAAAGTACTGTCATGATGTTTGCCTCAAGGGACTGAGGAAAGCTAGAAAAGACCTCAGTCAGGACAGGAATGTCACTAAACGCCTACCAGAATACGTACCCTAATATCCCAGAACAGTAATCTTCATAATTTCTGTCATGAGAACCTTACATCTCACATACTTCAAAATGTCCCACTTGATCTATATCTTTTCCACAGAAAACAGTGTTTAAATTATTGGCATACTTTGACAGTATCTGATATATGCTCTTTTAGGAAGATACTTGATTGGTTGTGAAGTATCGTTGGATTGAAGTGGATGTAGTGTGCTTGTTGAACACCAGATGTAATGTATTCTTAGGAAAATTTAATAATATTTTTAAGCATTTATTTTTATATTTAAATGCTGGAACATTTTGAGAGGGTATCAACAGCCAGTCACTCACAGTCAGGCTGAAAACTTTGATCCTTGTTAAAACTTTCATCATCACCACCACCACCATCATTGTCATGTTCATCATCATCATCATCATCATCATCCTTTTAAGTATTAGGCCTACTGAAATTTGTTGTGGATATTACACGATAGAATCTCCCAAAATCTCTTTTTCTTTTTAGATGATATTTTGAAGTGTTTTTTGCAATTCTGTCAGAGCTCATCCTGTCAGTATATTGTTCCCAGTTTCTTCGATATGGATCTACAAATATTTTTTCCAGCTCTTTGATGTATTTGTCCATCTATTCTTTAGTAAGCATACTTCCGTTTCTTTTCCCTTTCTATGCTACAAATATGTTATATAGATTACAATCCCAGCTATTTTCAAGGCATGTAATTGAGATACGTTTATCTCTCAGGGCACTTTCAATGTTGTAGGAACATATAGAGCTGAATTTGGAAGGAGGAGATGGGGATCTATGCACTCCAGGTCCTCTGGTATCGTTGCTAGATCGAACCTCACAGAACTCGATGGTGCGCACTTCACAAACAGATCTCCGAGAAGCAGATCGTCGGGGCCTACTTTGGCTTTTGGATGAGGAGGCAGTGTATCCTTCTGCCAGTGATGAGGGGTTCCTGGAAAGACTGTTTACTCATTATGGAGACAGGGGTATGTCAACTGATTACAAAGCATGGAATGACAGTGTTGAGTATGAAACAAGTCTGAAGAGACCATTTGACAGGTCTGTTTGTTAAAGGGTTTAAAGTAAACTAAATCACGGTGGTCATTTGCAAGTCCCACATGTTAAATAAATCAAACCCAGATCTACCTTCTGCCGAAGTACACATCGTTACATATCGGTACCTGTCTTATCAAATTGCACAGCATCACATCAGTACCTGTCTGCAAACTAAATGATTCACATATTGATTCCTGTTTACCAAAGTACACCAGATCACATGTAAATACCCATGTAAAAAACTACCTGTTAGCACCTGAGTACATAACTACATGATGCTGTCTTCCAGAAAATCTTCATATTCACCACTGTGAGAACCTCCAGTCCCATAACCTTCATATTGATCATCATCTAATTTAGGTTGTAATCTCCTGTTATGACACTGTACACGTATAATCTTGCAGTGGTTAGCAGTGATTTGGAGGAACCTGTTACTCTAGCTTCAGGATGGAAGTTACTATAGAAACCAAGGATCTCCTCATATGACACTATGCACATATAATCTTGCAGGGGTTACCAGTGGTTTGGAGGAACCTGTTACTCTAACTTAAGGATGGAAGTTAATATAGACACCAGGAGTTGTGTTTGGTCTTACCTTGTCGGTAAGGACAGGGAACTTTGTAACTTTGCTATCATGATGCTAAGAATTCTAATCATATATAGTATTACATCCCCATAGAAGTTTACTATATGAAATGGCAGGTTCTCATGGTGATAAGAAAATTATGGTTTCTCCTGGGTAAACAGTGTTTAATTTAACACATTCATATTACATCTTTGTGTCTTGTATGAATTCTAACTTTGTGGCAATTTGAAGAAATGGGGTAGCAGATATGTCTGAAACTGTAGATCATCAGATACCAGAAGACTGTAATTTTTATAGTTCCACTTTATGTAACCTGGATTTTTCATGAAAATTTGGTATGTCATGGATAATTGAAGAGCTGAAATTTGTTGACTTTTTTCCTCTGTATTATGTGTGGTAACTATTTGTTATACAGATCACCAGCTGCTGCTAAGAAAGGCTCCAGGCAACAACCAGTTTATCCTGCAGCATCTTCAAGGCACAAACCCAGTCTTATATACAGCTTCAGGCTGGCTCAAATCTTCCAGAGAGAACCCCATTGCTCGCAGTTCAGTGGGATTATTGCAGGAGTCCTCTAGGTTAGTTAATAGGAAAATTTTTAGTTTAAATGTATAATAGTGTCATGTGCCAGTGACTAGACATGGGGTTTGGATTGGCAGTTGAATTTGTAAGTACAAATGATTATAGCACCCTGATTAGTCATTAATGCCTTGAGGAGTGAGATTTAAGCACTTTATTATATGTACTACAATAAACTTCTTTTAGAAATGTGCTACTGGCAATAATTTTATGTTATAAGCCACACAGTAACTTGTAGACTTAGCTTCTGTCAAATTACTCCATACAGGTCCACTATGGGAAGGGTTAATAATACTCCTTAGAAATACGTTTCACTGTGTAAGATGAAAATGTAATTTTGTATAATTTTTACTTCCTATTTTCTGTAGGGAGGAGGTGAACCAACTGTTTTTGAGTGTACGAGGACCAGGTGTGTCCAGTGCATTAGGGGGCTCTGTGGTGGGCATTGAAGGCACTCAGTCTCTTCGGCGAGCATCTAGCATTCGCCGCACTTTCACCACTGGTACTGCAGGTATCAAGCGAAAGTCTGTCTGCCTTCAGGTCAAATTCACTGTGGTAAGTGTTGACATTCTCTAAGCATAATTTTAATCAATTGGATTTGGATGAAAGACTTTTTGAGATCAAAATACCATTCTTTCACTGTCTCTTTTGCAACATTTTTCTCAAGTTAGAAATTGGCTTGAACATTGATTCCATAATAATTGTTTCACAACCTAGGGATGTATTATTTCAGAATGATCATATACAACATGAAAACTTCTGTATGTTTGAGATATATGAAAATGTGTGTCTAACCCAGCATGTTTCAGCCTCTGCTTTGCTGATATAAGGAGTTCCTTATGTTATCATGAACCTATTAGAAGTTTACACTAATGTTATATATATGGAATGATTGTTATTTAGTACTGTGGTATTCTTAAAAATACATGTAGTCATATAGAGGAAAATTGTTTTATGTGTAAAGATCTTGGAAGCTGTGTTTTATGTCATCCATCCTCATTACATTTCTCTTTACATTGTCACGTGTAAATGACTAGACACAGGATAAGTATCGATAATTGGATTTATAGAATTCTTATGACTCATAACTACAAATAAGTATAACAGTCTCACTGATTACACATTCTGCGGGTCCCTACAGCTACAGCACATGTAAACTCTTCTGTTATTAGGTTATCACTTGTTTTTGCTAGGTTAGTGGCTGCTAACAGTGTAAATAAATACTACTAACTGCCAGCTCTGACCTCCGACTGAATAACTTTTCACATTGGCCCTTGCTATATAGCCTCAGCATGAACCACATGGAAAACAGTACTTCTAACAATTCCTCTCTTGTTGTGTATTGGTTTGTTCCTGTGCAAACATGTTTACCACAGTGTTGCCTAGCAGTGGCTGCCTCTTTTTGATAAATTACGCTGGCTTTCAACTGTCATGTCACAGTATCAAAATACTCCTATTTAATCTGTTTAACATAATTTTATATAAATACATATTCTGTTATTCTTGTCTTTGAGCATGTTTCTTTGTCCCATATGGCTGCACAACCGGGACAGCTAATTCAGAAGAATCCTTGTTTCTCCATATACAGTGTGTGCTTTGAAAAGATGCTGTCCATCTACTTACTTCTTTACTTACTCACTCACTCACTCACCCACCCACCCACTCACTCACTCACCCACTCACTCATTCACTCACTCATGGAGCTGAGTCCTTCTGGAGGAGCCGCCAGTTCAGCAGCTACTCAAGAATTTCTCAACATTTTATGGAACCCAAAGGTTCATTACTGTGTTCACAAGAGCCCTCCACTGGTCCCTATCCTGAGCCAGATCTATCCAATCCATACCATCCCATCCTATCTCTCTAAGATCCATTCTATATTGTCCACCCACCTATGCCTTGGTCTTCCCTCTGGTCTCTTTCCTCCTGGCCTTCCCACCAATATCCTATACGCATTCCTCGTCTCCCCCATTCATGCTACATGCCCTGCCCACCGCATCCTCCTTGACTTGCTCATTCTAATTATACTTGGAGAAGAGTACAAGTTATGAAATCTATAAATATAAAATTTGTTTTTTAGCAACAGTTAAAATGTAAATGTGAATTTCCAGTATGAGTATTTATACCTGTTTTATTCCCGAATTTCATCTCCTTATCAAGTGTCTGGTCATCTGTTTGTACCATTCAAGTGCAGTCCCTGCTTTACATGAAGCTCAAATTTAACATAAATTATCTTATAAATGGCTCATTACACAAAACACTGGTATATAGCATTAAATTTGTATCTGAGTAAGATCTGCAGCTTCTGTTTGAAACACGTTTTGATGCAATTAATCTTTATGAAAATTCAGGGAAACATATAATTTACTGACTGGCCGATTGTGTAGTTTGAATAGCTGTAACTTTGAATCTCTCTTGTCATTTCAGGATGGCCTAGTGGAAACGCTACGTCGAACCAAACTGAAGTTTGTCCATTGCTTCCTCCCACACCATAATGCTGCTCTGGGTGAATCTGTTAGGTCAGGAACCCTTAAATCAAACAGCAGCCTGACTGGAAGCAACATGTCAGATGATCTTCTCATCAATATACCATTAGTGCGATCCCAGGTCAGTGTCTCGGTCACGTAATTCGTTTTCAGAAACTGGCTAGCTGCTCATCTGTTTTACATATTTTAATGTGGAAGTTTGTTCTCTCATTCATGTTTATCTTAATGATTAAAATAAGAAATTTGTAAAATTTGTAAAATTCTTGTAAAATTGATTTAGGAAACGGGTTAATAGTAAAATAAGTAGGAACTGATAGAAAGAGAACACAGGGTGTCAGATTTTGCTGTAGTGTGCTAGTGCTGAAGTAGTAAATGTTCCTTTCCTGGAAAGAATATAGCAAACATAGAGGTAACATTCAATACAGATCTCTGGAACTGAGCAGTTATTCATGGTTGCTGGTGCCCTGAGCTTATCTAAACAACATAATTTTTTAAGCTTAGTCCAGCTATGAGTCACTCTAAACATAGCCTTTGTTCTGGATGTTGTCCAGTGTCTTGAATTTTTCTAAATACAGCGTTTCAAGCACTATATCACTTCTCTTATCACTTCCTGTATAACTGGGCCCATTAGAAAGTGCTAGGTATAGTGCTCAAGACTGGCACTATTTAGTGTGCCCAGTTGCATAAAACCGTTCCTTCCTCACACCTGATGGCAGAAACAGTTTCTGAAATGTTGTGTTTGGAAAAGCTCCAGACAGTGGAAAATGTCCAAAATAATTGTTGTGTTTAAGGCTTATTTAATGGTAATTTCTCTGTTATGGGTTAACTTTTAATTGTTAATGTCTGACTATAAGTTATTTAACAGTGTACTATCAACTGCAATTGATATTTACCAGCGATGACTAATCATTGCTTATTTTACAAATGTCTCAACAGTTACGTGGAGCACAGATACTAGATGCTGTACGACTCCATAAGCAGGGATTTCCAAAGTTCCTGCCATTGTCAGAATTTCGGCGCAGGTTCCGGTTATTGGCTCCTGCAGATGGCCGCCCAGCCAGTCCTGTTCTTGATGAGCGCCGAGCAGCTGAGGACATGTTGCTTGGTATAGACATTGACATGACATCGTACCGTGTTGGCCTTAGTCAGGTAGGAAAAAATTGCTGTTTTTCTGCTAAATTTCGTTTGAAATCTCTTACTAATTTGTATGTTAAGGAATCTGTTCAGGTACATTTGTTTATGAGTCTAACATTATGCTTCCATATGTAATATATTGTTACAATATATATAGATTGTATGAACTGAATTCTTTTATTATTATTTAGATGAATGTAGTGCTTCAGATTATTAACCATGGTATGGATATCGTACTGCATTCAATCGGAAAGTTTCTGGACTAGATAAAAAAAGAAATGCTGGCTTAACTTGCTCAATTTTGGCTGCCATCTCCTTCAAAACAGTCTCCCTGGGAACGTATACAGTGATCCCATCGTTTTTTTCCATGCTTCAAAAGCACCGTGGAAGTCATTTTCCTTACTGCTGTTGAGTACTGCTTGTGATTCCCTTCGGCCGTCAGACGCTGTTTCAAAACATTGTCTCTTTAGTTTCATTTTCAGTTTGGGAATCAAAGTGAAATCACAGGGTGCTGAGTCCAGCGAGTAAGAGGATGGCGAATGATAACCATGTTGTTGGTCATAAACTGCTTTTCAGGGATGTGTGGGTGGGCGCATTGTCATGATGAAGGAACCAGTTGTGGTTGCTCCAAAGTTTGGTCTTTTTTTGTCACACATTTTCTCTCAAGCATCCCAGAACGTCACAGTAAAAGTCAGAGTTGATTGTAGTGTTAGAAGGAACAAATTCATAGCGAACAATCCCCTTCACATCGAGAAAAGCAATGAGCATGTGTTGAACTCCAGACTTGCTGTGCCTTTTTTGCTTTTTTTGTGATTGTGAGCTCCTCCACTGGGACGATTGTTGCTCTGTTTCTGGATCATAACCATAAATCCAACTTTCATCACCCGATATGAACCTAGAGATAAAACTTGGGTCCTCGTTTGCCTTCTCTTGTAGCTCAAGACACGCATTAATGCACTGTTGCTTTTTTATAGTTTGTCAAGAGTTGGGGAACAAAGTTCGTGGCAATGTGGCACATTTCAAATTTTCTGTTAAAATCTCCTGGCAAACACCATGTGTTCACAGTGCGGTGTCACGTGGTAAACTGATGCAATAGGCTCGTGGAAGTGTGTCCTTGGCCTCCCCTCACAAATTCTTTCAATGTGACAGTTACAACAGTAACAATCTGGGAACTTCCCAGTAGCACCTGTACTGCCAGAATGATTTTTTGTTGTATTTCATTAAATATTGACCATAGTAAAAAAATGTGTCCAGTAAGAGTTACAGATCTTAATGAGGTCTGCATTCTATGCCATTTACAAGTTTTGTATAATTTACAGTTTTTTTAAGAAAGGTAGTGAAGGACAGTCTGAGCTTATGTACATCCATCCCCATCATGAAACATTTTTCTATGCAGAACTGTATCAGTAATTTGTGCCAAACTAAAACAGATCTCTCTGTACTACAGTACTTACTGATTATGATTAGAAATTTCTTCACTAGATGGCAATATAATTTGTGTAGGGCTGTATCAGAGCAATGAAAACAGTGGCAACAACATGAAATACTGAAATGTATGTAATACACTCATTATGGATTTACACACTCTTGGTGAAATAGGCAGGTTTCAGATCACCATACTCGTATGTATGTGCTTACAGATGTGAATGGGTTAAATTCATCTTGCAATATTAAATTTAGACACCCTGAATGCTAAATTTCATTCTGATCTGTCTAGTAGTTGCAGAGATGTAGACGTAGGTAGACGTCCCCATTATGAATTTTTTGAAAATTTTGTTGCCATCATTTTTTTGAAAATATAAGCGTTTAGCAGCTAGTCTGTGAAGATTGTGCGTGTTCCTTGCGTTAACACTGTACAGCTGAATTATTTTGAAAACGTTCTTGGTTATTTAAGAGGAAGTTCCTTAATTAAACTATGTATTCACACGGAAAAGGTAAGATCTCTAATGTCTTTAAGTAGACCAGTGCAGGGATTCCTAGGTTTCACATCTTCCGTGATTCTGACAGTTTTCTTATTTAATGTAAATATCTTTTTCTTGTCAGATGAAGCACCCGCATGAGATTATTCCATATATTGTTATAGGGCAAAAATAGGCAAAATAGACTGATTTGAAAGTGTCAGTATTGCAGGTTGGTAATATGGATCTAACTGCACAACATTCTTCGCTCAACTTTGGAACCAACTGATCAATATGATTTTTCTGATTTATGTGATTGTCTATTTTTAACCCAAGGAATTTAGTGTTTACTGCTTCTTCTGTACATAGGTATCATTATATCTGATGCATAATGGATATTGTGGTGAATTATTTTGTATAAATTTCATTATATGTGTTTTATCTAGGTTTAGGGCCAGTTTATTAGCAGTAAACCATTTACTTGTGGGATTCTCAATGCTTGAAGAGACAACCACCTATTATACTTCTATACAAATATTTATTGTTGCTATAATGAGTACATTAATGAGCTTCAGTTTATTATGCGTTCATTAGTCATTGTGTAGTAGTGCTTCGGATGATGGGATAATCTCTGAATTAGTACTTGGTTCTCCTTTCTACTGCAACTGCCTTGAATGATGGCTGTCTGACGAATGATGTTGTTCATGTATGCATGGCTCCATATATAGGCTTGTGCATATCCATGTAAATCATTTGTTATCACGAAAACATGCTTACTGAGACATTGGCTACTGAGCATCAGATGTCCCACTGTTGGCTGCATAACCTTAAAAATGTGTATACCAATCTTTTTCTGTGGATACCTGAATATTGGGCCATTGCCTAGCAAATGGACTTATGCTTCAATGAATGTGGGTGGGTCCCGCATACTCACATGAGAGAGAACTCTGACAGTATAGAGAAATCAGCAGTTTCTACTAGAAATTGTTTCTCTAGTGTAATCAGTGAATGTTGTGGGTTCTGACAAGATATTGATTGTTGGAGGAAGGTCCTTTATGTGGATTTTGAAAAGCAAAGGCCCTAGAACAGATTATTCCTGTCCTGAAGCTTTTTTTGAAATTTTTTCATGCAAAAGTTTAAATTCTGCCATGAAACTACTTTATTTCCCCCATGTCTCACATTCATACTTTGTAAGTCAGGGACACATTTGCACTGACATGTAACGTTTTGTATAAGAAACCTGTCAATCTTTGGATCAACAACTTCCCTCCAACGCAGATAGGAGCTATGTTTAGGGATAGTGTAAGTACTGTGAGAGAGCAGACTGGATGTCTGCAGGTACAAGTAAAGACAGCTTACAGTATTTCCTCAATTAGAAGACAAGCCTTTTCACATTAGAATTTCATAAATCAGGGTGCATCTTACATTTGATGATGTCTAATAATTGATGCTGAAAAATTATATTGTATGACAAAAGCACAAGGAAAATATTCCTAACCATAACACTGGTTATGAGATAGTAAGCACAAAGATAGAAGCGAAGGAGATTCTGAAAGTAGGTCTGTTGTTAAAAAAGCCTTTACATTTACTGAAGCGTCATTTTGCGTGTGTTATATTTATTATGATCTAGGGGCACACCTTAGCATAGTTGGTTGAGGCACTATGGTACAAGCCGGAAGGTCACGGGTTCAGCTCCCGATGAGGTCATTGTATTTTTCTGTTGACCTATTATTATTATTATTGGAGGGGGTGGGTTTCCCCATGCACCGCGACCAGTGGTCTATTGTACATCCCCCTGTGATATTCTACCAGTCTCTAAACCCTACTGATACTGGTGCGTGCCATCAGTCCCGACTCAGCCAGCGAGTTCGGCCTCTACTGGCTCAGTGGTATGCTTCCCCCATCTACCAGAGGCGTTAGAGACTATTGTTGGGTGGGAAATGTCCTTAATAATTTGACTCAGAGGTCTCCTTGAGGCATGAGGTTCTTTTACATGCCATAAAGCTACGACACGGGACCCACGGCTTAAAGTCCCTCCTGGAGGACTTGTTCCCTGAATTTTTCCGCCCTTAAAAATTCCACGACCTCCGCTGGGTTTGAACCTGCATACCTTGAGTCATGAGGTGGGAACGTTACCCCTAGACTACGGAGGCCACTTCTGTTGACCTAATCCTTCCAGCTGCACTATGGCCCTGGAGTCAACTCAGCCTCTTAATAGAAGTGAGCACCAGGAATCTTCCTGGGGGTAAAGGGCAGCTGGCGCATAAAGCTGACAACCTTACCGCCAACTGTGAGCCAGTTGTCTAGAAAATTTGGGAACCTCAACATCTGACAGCCCTATGGGCCTCCACAGCCTGTTAACAGGGATAGATTTTTTTTTAAATATTTATTATCTGGTTCTATCAACACAGTGTGTGTATAGGTATACTGTATGTTACAGGTTTACTGCATGTTTCAGGCTTTCGGCCATGATCATGCACCTTGGACTTATTTGCTCTTTTCCCAACTTTGGCTAATTTTTACATATGGCTGTTTTTTTTATTTGTGTAGCATTAATTTACATATTAATGCAGTGCCCTTGTACTCATCTTAGTTGTAATGTTAAAATTTTGAAGTGTTAATATGCCTTGATGATAGTCATTGAATATAAAAGGTGTATTTTGTGTGTAAACATAAACATAAACTACAGCAGATAGACTTGAAAGGATTCTGACGATGGTGTATACTGTACTTCTTTCGGCTTATTTTGGACTTCACCCATCGTCTGGTATGTAAAAGACAAAAGACCACAACGTCCAGTTATTGAGACTAGCTCTTTCTAGCGGGCACAACTGAGTAGGTTTATCCTTCCCTATCCACCTGAAGACAGAGACAGATCCAGTCTCCAAAACGTCGTGGTCTTTTGTCTTTTACGTACCGGATGATGGGTGAAGTCCAAAATAAGCCGTAAGAAGTACTATAAACTACCGCAGTTTATATCCATTTACCACTGCTAAGGCATCATAACTACTTGTAATAAGATGTATGATAATGATATCCAATATCTTAACATTCTAATATTTCCGCAACTAAGCATTACAGGTATGACAAGTACAGAGATATTACAGTAATGTGTAA